CGCACTTTCAAAATGTCATTGTGAAAAAAAAGTCTTCCTCCCATTCCGTATGAAAGTTATAGGTTTTTTTCTTCTTACTTGGTCCCGCTCCCCCACTCATTTTCATAACCTATCTTACATTTAAGAGGAAAAAAACGAGCGAAAATTAGGATGTAACTAAGGACTAGTTTGTTAGCTTTGCTGTTGTTTGAGCACGCACAGTGACCTAATGTACGGAAACAAATCAGATGTCATCTGACTGGTTGTCCTGTGTATCAATCAAGTGACGGGATGGCTGATAGGCTGACATCTAGTTTTTATTCAAAACAACTTGGGCCGCAGCCGTAGCCTAATGGCTAGAGCGGGCGGCCCATATACAGAGCCTTTGCTCGAAAGCGGGTGTCCTGGGTTCGATTCCAGCCCATGGCCCTTTCCCGCAGGTCTCCCCCCTCTCCATCTTTGCCCCCTTTCCTGTCAAGCTACTGTCATTAAAGGCCACTAGAGCCAACAAAATCTTAAAAAAAAATTTAAAAAAAACTCAACTTTATTTGTATAGCGTCAGCTCACCTTGTCAAGCGATCTACCGATAGTACCTTGGAGATCAACTGGTAGATCGCGATCGACTATTGAGCACCCCCGGCCTACAGGGTGATGAAGTGGTCAGCACTCTCTTACTGTCTCACAGCAAGACCCCTGACCGGAGACGCCTTTGTGTGTAGATGTGGGTTCTGTCCAGTCACCTAGGACTCCTCCCAGTCCAAAAACCTACATGTTGGGTTAAGTGTTCACTGTAAACTGGACGTTGGAGTGAACGTAAGTTGTGTGTCTCTGTGTGCCCCGTCCAGGGTTCAACCCTGTCTCGCTCAGTATCAGCTGGGCATCCAAAACAGATGGAAGCTAGCAATAGCACGTGGTGTGTTATGTGGTAAAAGTATACACTTTTAACTCATTGACTGCCAGAGTTTTTTTTAGCATTTTGACTGATTCTTCAAGAGCCACAGAATAGTTTGTGCTATGACTATGTAAACACCGAACACACCAAAAGAAAGAGTAGACTCTTTTCTTTAATCAGGAAAAAAAACGTTGTTTCTAGCTTATTCCGTTCTTCCTGGACTTGCGTCTCACCAGCGACATGTTCTCTCATAGCGAACCGTTACCTTTTTCTTATTTGCCTACAGTCTATGCTCATCTCCCATCAAAAGTGACACTGCCACCTAGAGGGTCAATTTGTTACTACATACTCTGTCTAGAAGCCTGATATTTTCGGACAAGCTTTAGCAGATCGTCCCCCAGCCACTCTCGTTGAAAAACATAAAAGACGTCTATAGACGTCTTTGTCAGCCAATGAGTTAAGCACTGCATTTTTCTTTTGTATTTGATACTTGACGGTACACAACACATTTTTCACGCTAATCATTTGTAACTTTGTTCCTTTACAGAAAATGGTGAAGTGATAACAACAGATGTGGAGCTACAGGTGATTCAATGGCTGTGCACGCTGGCATGTTACAAGGGAGACTGTAAAACATTTTTTAGAAAAAATACGTACGAAATGTACTCCAGCATCTCGTACATATATATAATCAGTGTTCGTATTCTGAACAATTAATAAAGTTTTCCACAGCGGAGAAGGCTGCAGCTAATTAATATTCTATCATTAGTAATACAAGGACCTCAACAGGCAATCAAGTTATCACAGCAGTAGATGAAAGTGGCGAAAAAACGAACGTTGCAAACCTTTTCCCTGCTTCTCCAGCTTCTCCATCCTGCTCAGCAGGCCTGACCTCAGCTCCTCCAGCAGGTTCCTCCTCGTCTCCTCGCTCTGACAGCTCCCCGCCGCCGCCCGCAGCCTCTCCAGGCTCCGTCCGTGCTGCTCCACCTCCTGCTCTCTGTCCCGGAGCCGGCTCTCCACGCCGCGCAGCGCCTGCCGCCGCTCCACCCCCTCCGCCTTCAGCTCCAGGACCATCTCCCTCAGGCCCCGGAGCTCGTCCCAGAGGAGCGGGAGCTCCCGGGGGGAGGGAGCCGAGGCCTCGGCCCGGCCCCGACAGACAGGGCCGCAGATGGCCAGCAGAAACAAAGCGGCCCTCATCCCGAAACCAAAAAAAAACCCCCCGCCGGCCGACTACCACAGCGGCTTTTAGCCCGCTAATCCCGCAGGAAAAGCATTCGGAGGTGGGGGCTCGGCCCTATGCAGCCAGAAACCTGTTTGTTCCGTTCAAACTTTAGCCTGGAACGCCGTTTCCCAAACTTTAAGTCTGAAACATGAGCAGAACACCGGTCACACAGCAATGGCTGCTTCAGTATCTTCCACATCGACATGTAACAGAAGAATACAGTTTAGATTTTTTTTCTGTTTTTGGATTTCTTTTTTCCAAATACAGCATCATGCGTACAACTGGAGTCAGTTTTCTATTCCAACCCCCAAAGAGAGAGGAAGTCAGAGAACAAAACTGCATCACAATGAAGAATTGACGGTCTTTTTTTAAAGTGTAACACTTTCAAAAAGTGTAACATGAGGCTGTTGAAGTTTCTTTAATTCGTCTCTTTCTCATGAATGACACTTGAATGGAAAAGTCATTCAATGGGAAGCCAACATTGAAATCATTCTTCCTACAAGAATTCTTATCTTGAAAAATTCCAGTTATATCTTTTGTTTTTTAAACTTTGATCAAGGGAAAGTACCCAGTACCCTTGTTTTTACAATGCACATATTATATTTCACTGATCGTAAAGGAAGAAAAAAAATGTTTTAAAAAGTATTCTTCAGATTGGTTTCAGTTGGAGCATTGCTTTATAGAATTATCAGTTTTTGTGTCCAAGATCAGTGTGATGTTTACCTGAAATGAACTTTTCTTTTAGCCACTGGGTCCCAGTTCAAAAGTCCAGCTCCTAATAACAAGGCCATCTTACCTGGTTCAGATTCATTATTTCATGTTTTTTTTGTTTTTTTTCACATTAAACACCCGCTGAGTTTTCTCAAATATTTGAGGATAGTTTCAATCTATCCAATGAAATGGTCCTCAGTATTATTTTTTTCCCTTAAAAAATGAGGCCAATCTTTGTTTCATGTAAGACCGCATAAATATATATTTACAAATAGAAAAACTTTAGGGGAAGTGGAAGGGGGCAGGACTGATGCTTGTTTTTTTCCTCTGCCGCAGCGAATACCAAACATAGCTAACATGCTAATCCATGACTTATTCATCCGGCTCAAATCTGCTCAGCAGATCTGCATTATCCTCCGTCACGTGCGCCCCCCCGCCCCCGCCTCCCACAGCACCGTGCACACTAAACCACAGGATGCACACGCTCTCAGTGGGAGATCACGTCAGCATCTATGGCCTGGTGTCTTTTAATTAAATTCAATTCAAATTTTATTTATATAGCGCCAAATCACAACAACAGTTGTTTCACAGCGCTTTCCAAACAGAGCAGGTCAGACCCTACTCTGAAGTTAACTACAGAAACCCAACAATTCCCACCATGAGCAAGCACTAGGCGACACACGCAAGGAACAACTTCCCGGTTGTTCCTAATGTGCTGGCTGTGTCTTCTTTCCTTTCAAGTCCCGGCTGTTCCAGGCAGACAGCCACCTGTTACAGTTCTAGTTATAACGGTAATTGTGCTGGTTTCCCTAGCTAGGAACACTTTTTCAGTCAGAGCTAGAGTCAATTACAGTAGGATTGAAGACAATGAAACGTCTTGTCTGGACGTGTCTGGACATCATACTTGTTGGGGGTTTAAGCTATGTTTTATACGAGTCAAATGACAGATTCTGGTCAGAAAAAACTCCAAGGTTCCTCATTGTAGAAACCACAAAATGACAAGAGAGGAGCTTTACAACTATGCTAAAGATTCCCCAGGATAAATTGTATTGATACACACGTATTGTTATCATGAAATGTAAAATTGCTGCAATTCTGGTGACAGATTGATGGATTTTTTTTTTAAAAAAGGTCAGAAATAATTTCTCAGTCATGGCTTGCAAACTGGAACGACTTAAAAATCCCGTGGCACTCATTTTTCATTCACTCAAACAAGACCAGAAAAACAAATTTTATTTCAAATGAAAACTTTTCATAGCGACAAGGAAAAGGCTCTCAGACATCCTTATAGTCCAATCGTGTCACTCCTCACCTCCTCCCTCCAGAGTCTGGCTCAACGGTCGCCTGATTCCAAGTGGTTTGGCTGCAATCGCCATGGAAACTGCTGTGATTCGTGCCTTATCATCATCATCATCATCATCATCAACCGTGTCCGAAAAAACTAAAGAAAAAGCAGCTAAAAGTAAAACAAGCCATTATTTAACTGTATGGTGAGCAGACAACAGAGGCCAGGTAAGATGTAAAATTGAGTTTTTTTTCCCTAAAAGAAATTGAGAAAGTTTGTCTACAGTTCAACTTGAGTTTTAGAAGCTTTTTACTTTATTCTTCCAAACAGATTTTGCAGGCAGAATGGATCAGGCCCCTGCGTTTTTGACCAACCTGCACATAAACACGCGTTTACACATGGATTCAAGCCACTAATAAGGTCTCCAGCAGGAAGGAGGTTAAGTTCCAGCTCCTAGTTCTCCGTAATCATCTGAAATGAGCGGGGACTGTCAGTCACTCTGTGCCCAGACTTGGGAGGAGGCACAAGGCAACTGGTCTGACGTCAGAGGGCCAAAAAATACAAACCAAATAAACACGTAGAACTGGTAAAATCCCTTCTTATGCCTGCTGTTCATCATACTTTGTTTTTTTTAAGGAAAGAAAGAAAATCTCATGAAAAAAAATGAAAAGAAAGAGGGCACCATAGTCTCAGTTGAACACTTAGTGTTCAGTTTGTGTGGCTACCAGCTGCTATAGCACTCCAAAAGACGAAAATCATGCGCGGACGATCTCACGGGAAGTCAAACTCCATCAGCAACTGAATCGGCCGACCGGTGATTCTTGCTCCGTCCGCTGGAGGAAGGCTTCGAAAGATTTAAAAGCGGTAAAAAGTTCGGGGTGAGCCGGTCCCCGTCTGCCCGGGGTCAGGGGTCAGCGCTGACCGGTGTAGGCTCTGAACCAGGAGGTGACGGAGGCAGCGGCCGAGGAGATCATCCCTCCAGAGGGGGCCGAGGGCTGGGACACCTGCAGTGCACTCTGGGAGAGCTCCATGGGCTGAAAAAGGACAGGGGAGATATTAGTAGGGATGGAGATCATTAATATTTATTGATATCGATACCTTTATCGATACTCCTTATCGATACCACTATCAATACTTTTCTGTTATTTGGTGGAAAGACGATGCGACAATATTTAGCAAATAAATAATTGTATTTTAAATTAAATGTAATTTTTAATAAATGTTGGCATCAGTAGTTTAATTATATATTCTAAAATAATTAGAGCAATATACAACTGTATCACTCATGTTTCTCGCCAAAAACTCAATTTCCCTTTTCTTTACGTTTCACTTGAACGCATCATGATAACCTAATTGTCGTTTTACTGAGCCAACCTGAACACATCATCACGTCTGAAACTTTATTTACTTTTCAAGCTAACTAGCTTGTATGCTGCCGATTACAACACGGATTTCACAATTACTATTGTAATAATAATAAAAAAACGACCAGACTCAATAGTGGTATCGATAATAAGCCCAAACGTTATTGATTTTCGGGTTTTGAAAAAAAGTGGAACCGGGTCCTTGATAGAACCGGGTTTCTAATGCCAAATGTATCATATTTGATACATACAGTTTCTAAAATGTTTTGCGTCTGACACCTTTTAGCATAATTTAATGGTAAAAACTTTGCTCAAAATCCTATTGAACACAATCAGATATACCTGATAACAGGGGGCAGAAGACTACACAAAAAATAATCTTGACTTATCGCATAGTAATAAATCATTAATATTAAAAAAAATGTTTCTGTTTTTTCTTTTTACATATTTTGTTAAAAGGCCAAATAAGGAATTCAAACCAAAAAAAAAGTAATTCTGTTTGGTTTTATTCTTGGATGAGGCTTTAAACGGTTAAAGACTTAATTCCATGATCCCTTTCTTCTTCTGTGGTTATACAGCAGAGGACAGCTGCCTAAAACTGACCCCTGCACAACCTCCAGCACCACAATTACGGACATAGATGGTAACGGTCAGAGAAACCGATCTGTCCTTAAACTCCTTCTGTCCAGAGCAGCTCTCTGAGCAACAACAACAATAGTTTCTCCCAAACCAGCGACTTCTGTTTCAGACCCATTTTTCAGAGAACCTGTCCCCTCAATGAAGGCCTCAGACCGGATCTGGTAGTGGACTGGAGTCTGTGTTGGTTCTGTTGGGTCTCAGAGCTGATTCTGTTACAAAGAATTCTGTTACAAAGTCTCCAACATCTTGTTGGCATTAAAGGGATTGTCCTATAGATCAGTGTTTTTCAACCCCTGGTCCTCGGTACACTAGTGTGCCACGAGTGATCATCAGGTGTGCCGTAAAAAATCATCCTATTTCACCTAATTGGTCTAAAAAATATTTTTGATAAGGAATTAATTTTCTGCAAATAATATTCCAATTTTGAGTGTCTGTGCTGTACTAGTGACTGGTGGAGTAATCATGTAATAATTCCTTATGACTAGATTTTGTATATAATTTTGTATATTGAAGTGGACATGTTAAGTGCAATTTGAAAGAAGAAATATAAAATATGATAAAAATACAATTTTTGTGTTTATTTGATTCCTATTCAAGACACTTAAGATAAGATAAGAATAAAATAAGAATAACTATAGTGTTACTATAGGCAGCTACAGATTTGTTTAACACTTTTGGTTGGTGGTGTGCCTCGAGAATTTTTCAATGGAAAACTGTATCTTGGCTCAAAAAAGGTTGAAAAACACTGCTATAGATTAGTGATTCTCAAATGGGGGTACGTGAAGCTGTTCAAAATATATTTAAAAAATCAGTAGGCTCCTCATAATAAGTCTTGGGAGAAATTATTCTGTAAAAAGTTCGATAGAATATAAATGTGTGTTCATGCACTGCATTTTATATTCAGTATTTAGTTTCGATATCCTTTCAAATAAAACGGACCCCCCCACCAAGTTAGTTTGACCCACGGACCCAGCGCACTTGTCAACGACCTGTCGTTACCATGGTTACGCTGTAACTACGGAGAAATCAAATGTTCAATGCAAAGTGATTAAAGTGCAATCTTCTTTTTTTTTTTTTATCCTAAAAGATGTAACCTTTATTTTTTTGTAAGCAAATCTTTATTTAGGTTAATTTATTTTGTAAACAAAATATCATCTATTTATAATTAAGTTGTAGATTTATTTCTGTGAACACATTTGAGTTATTTATGTAAATATTCAATTTTGTACCATTACAGAGACCAATATAAATTAGCAGCGTTAGCAGCATATATTTCAGTTTTGACTGGTTTTATGACTTCCTGGTGGTCACCGTCTTCTGTTTTTCTTTTTTTTTTTCTACATGCAATGGTTGGAGTATGGACCAGTTGTTTGGCTTTAATAAATAAGACAGTGATTTTACAGCACTGTACCTCTTTTTTCCTTCCAAAAATGTTTGGCCTGTGTCAGGCGGTACTTGACTAAAAATATATTTTTAAGGGGGTACATCACTGAAAAAAGTTTGAGAACCACTGCTATAGATGCTTTAAGTCAGGGGTGTCAAACTCTGGCCCGAGGGCCAGATTTGGCCCGCGTTGTAATTATATTTGGCCCGTGAGACAATACCAAATGATTTCATTTGATTTAATTTTTCATTTCATTTATTTTGAAACATGATATGATTTAACAATGTTTACATAGAATGCTTCATAAACATGCATCATGTTTCAAAAAGGAGTAGGATGAAGCATACGCTTTATACTGTACAGTGCATTAACCGCTCATACTACAACTCCCATAATGCTCTGCTGTTGTTCAGGACAGGAGACAGAAACTCCTCTGGGACAGTAGATACACACTACAGCTGTCACTGTGCTACTTCCAAAAAATGACCAAAAGAAAGGCAGGAAACAGGAGCTTTCTGCACAAGCAAATTTAATTTTGATATTTAATTCAGAAGGCTGCGAATAGAAAAATGTTTTTAAATTTTAGTTCATAAATGAATGCCATTGATGTGTTTTTTATTTGAAATTGGATTTTGCATGTCTCCACTATTAAGTTATATATAATGTAATGAGAGTTGCTTGTTCCATATTCAATGTTACAGCAAAATTTGTTTTATTCCACATTAAAAGGTTCATTTGTTCAATCTTGGCCCGCGGCTTTGTTCAGGTTTGAGATTTTGGCCCTCTGTGTTTTGGAGTTTGACACCCCTGCTTTAAGTCATGTTTATCTGACAGATTCCAGTTTGTCCATGTAAACAAAGCACCTTGGGTTCTTATCGATTTGAACCATTGATGCCATTCCTTGTGATTTGGGTCCATATGAACAAACAAACGGATTTTAATAGAAAACTGGACGGTTTTCCCTACCTGGGAGGGGATGTCGCAGAATCGCGGGCTGGGCACCGTCTCCCAGTCCGTGCCCAGGTCCGTCTCCTCGTCGCTGACCGCCTCGTCCCCGCTCTCCTCGGCGGCGCCCGCCTCCTCGGGCTCCACGAACTCCATGGACTCCTCCAGGTCGGCGCTGACCTCGAACGGGCCGGTCCTGGGCCCACAGACAGGGGGTGTGGGGGTTTCTGTTTTTTTTTTTTTCTTTTTACATATTTCGTTAAGAGGCCAAATAAGGAATTCTGTTTTGGTTTTATTGGGTTAAAGCAGTGCTTTTCTCAATTATTTTCTGTTACGCCCCCCCTAACAAGAAAAAAAAATGTCGCGCCCCCCCACTCCCCACCGTCACTATCCATCTCTGCATAACATTTTATCCTTATTAACATTAAAGAAAAGAAAAAAAGAAAGACATATGGTCAAACTTACAACTTTATTAAATCGTGTTTTAAGTCTGCGACAGAAAAGATTTTAAGTGCATCAACACCTGAAATTAAAAATAAATAAATCCTTGTTAAAACTGTAAACGTGTTTGACCAACTAATTGCACCGTTGCAAAATTAAATAAAAATCAATAAATAATATTTAATAATTATAATAACTAATAAACTGCAAAAACAACTAAAAGAATAACTAATTTATATTCAGTTAAGCAACATTAACTCAGGAACACAATATATAAAACACTTAGCTTTCGGGAGACTTTCTTTTGTCTCGTTATCTTTGTCTCTCTCCGCTTTTCTTTTCATCCCCGTTAAAAACTTTTCATGTTGGGGGTTGTTATGCTGAATAACGGAGGATATAGACAGAAGGCAGATGCTAACCGAGGCTAACCCGTTGTCTTTAAGTCGTAAAATGTTGAACCGAAGTAACGGTGAGAGCGCCACTGCCCCTACTGGAGTGGATGCGCAATTACACTTTATTCTAGTACGGCCCAAAAAAAAAAGGCTGTTCCCCAGGGTCACACGCGCCCCCCCAGGTATCGCACCGCGCCCCCCAAGGGGGGCCCGCCCCACTATTTGAGAAGCACTGGGTTAAAGACTTAATAGCGGTCAAACACTGGTTTGACCGGTCTCGCTGGCCTCGGCCTCTTTCAGCCCCGGGACGGCGGGGTCTCACCTGCCCAGGTGCTCGTTGTCGGGGGCGACCAGAAAGGTGATGTTCCTGAGGGTGTGGTGGGGGTGGAGCTTGTCGCTGTCGACGTGCTAGACGCAGAAAAACAGGAAGTGTTAGGACTCTGCTGACCGCGAGCTGCTGGGGGGGCTTTATTTTCCGGGCGGGGGGGGGGCATTGGGACCTGGGAGAAGCAGAGGTGGAGCACGTTGGTGTTGAGCTTGCTCAGGGATCGGGTGAAGCGGTAGCGGCTGAGGTTCTCCCCGCAGAACTCGCTGTTGCACAGCTTCTTGGGCAGGTTGACGTCCAGGATGTGCGAGGCGATGGTCAGCAGCTGCGTGGCGTAGCACAGCGCCGCGCTGATGGTGTGGGCCGGGTTGATGTGGTCCAGCTCTGCGGCAACAAAGAGGACAGCCCTTTAACACCCCGCCCGGACTAAACCAGGAGCTGCTTTCAGCTCCTTAAGAATTAAGGCTGCTGTAACTGAATCTTTACCTAATTCAATTCAATTTTATTTCTATAGCGCCACTTCACAACAACAGTTGTCTCACAGCGCTTTCCAAACAGAGCAGGTCAGACCCTACTCTGAAGTTAACTACAGAAACCCAACAATTCCCACCATGAGCAAGCACTAGGCGACACAGGCAAGGAAAAACTTCCTTTTAACAGGCAGAAACCTCGAGCAGAACCATGGCTAATAATTGTTCTTCGTCTGGGGTCTTATCCAACAATCGGCCTTTATAAAGAACACCTTTTTATTTCTTTTTTTTAGCCTCACTTCAAAAATCAGTTTTTCAATGATTTTATCTGCTTTAAATCCCTCGATGGTCTGGTCCTACCCTAAACCTTTACACAAACACTGAGCAGCAACAGTGTCTAACAACACGCCGCAAATGTAGGATTTATGGCAAGTTTACGCCCTCAAGACCGTCAAGATTTTGTTCCGAGATAATGTCGCTCTTTCCCAGCTCAGTTAGTTTATCTGAGATTAAAATATGAACAGATATAATGAAGTCTCCTTTACTCCATTTGAGATCAATAAAGTATTCAACCATCAATCAATCAATCAGTCCCGTTGAAGCTGATGTTTGTATTGTTTTGGTTAATAATGAATTAAATCCTACATTTCAGAGGATTATTTCATTATCCGAGTAGGAATATTGATGATTCATCTGTCAGCCTGCCAGAATTTGTAAATTGCATCCTCTCTTATTATCGCGTGTATTGCATCCTCAGCAGTTTTATTTTCACAAAACCACTTACTACACTCCATTTTGAGTCACGTCTCATTTTCTTTCAGCTTGAACTGGATTTGAGTAGCAGTTCTCCAGGCTTACTGGAAGACTGAAGCGTGTTTTTACAAAGATAAAACTATTAAAAAGAGAAAGACTTGGCGTTGAAACTTGAAATGGAAGGTGAAAAACCCCCCAAAAAGGTTAAAAAAGCTAAAGATGTGACAGAAGAAATTGTCAAAAATGCAGCGATGGGACTGTAATCCCGATGCTGAGAGGATAAAAGCATTACTTCCACTTTGTTATAATGCTATACTGCAGTTTACTGTGGAATATTCTGCAAATACTTTGGCAGTAGAGTGTATATGTCCCACAGGGAGCATTTCTGGTGGTGATCTTTATATGTATCTTTAACCTAAATCTGACTGCCATAAAGATAAACATTTCCATAATTTATATTCTGAATTTACATTCTGAATATAAGATAAATGTTCAAAAACTCAAATTAGAATTTAAATGACTATTCCATATCTATACATCTTATCTAGTTTCAAAAAGGGGAGTATAAGTTTGAATAAGAATCTCCTTACGATAAAATACTTAATGAACAAAAGACACGTTAAAACTCTTTGAAAACAACCACGGCCATATCAGTAAAGAAATAAATCTGACATCTCTAGATGGACCTGCATCCCATTACACTTTCCACATCTCCTTTGGCTTTTCCAGAAACTACTGAGAGACACACAAATCATTTTCTGGGAAGAAGGTGGTGTTGGATGAACGAATCTATGACTAGGAAAAAAAAAGCTGTGACTTGTTACACACACTTTGCTGACTTGTAAATGACAGATTAAATTAAAATAGTTGTGTTCCTCGCATTTAAACTCTGAACGAGCATCTCCATGCAGATGAGCTCTTTGTTCTCAGACTGCAGGTTCTGGTTCTGGTTTCCTGAGTTTTTGCTGATTTCGCAGGTTTGCCCACTTACAAAGAACGCTTATTTTTCCTCATCGGATGGTTATCAATTTTGATAAATTCATATGATGCGATCTTCTGGAATTTTCTTTGGGATTCTGTCTTTCACTGTTAGAATGTACATATGATTAAAGTTATAGATCGTTGCATTCTTTGTAAGTGGGCAAACCTGCAAAATCAGCAAGGGGTCAAATACTTATTTCCCCCACTGTAGCTTAGCATGTACCCGGCTAATGTTTTTTTTCTTTTTGGTGCCAGACGTAAACGGAGTGGACCGCTGCTCACCGGGGCCCTGGGTGGTGCTCTTCTCCTCCATCCAGCTGTAGTAGGCCGAGCAGTCCCCGTTGCTGGGCAGGGCCACGGGGGGCCCCGTGATGCTGATGCTGGTCTCTCCGTTCTGGTCGTCCCAGATCCAGCGGCCGGACAGGTAGGTGGTCCGGCGGGCCTCGGCCAGCTCGCTCACCGTGCTGGACGTCAGGGCCGGGTCGCACTCGGCCACCACGTCGGCGGGGTCTCTGAGGGACACGCGCAGGGGCAGATGTGTTTACGCGCGCGCGCACGCGGCTTTTTAAGCGAGCTCGTCGTTCTTCTGAAAATTCAATTCAATTCAATTTGATTTATATAGCGCCACATCACAATAACAGTTGTCTCACAGCGATTTCCAAACAGAGCAGGTCAGACCCTACTCTGAATTTGATTACAGAAACCCAACAATTCCCACCATGAGCAAGCACTAGGCGACACAGGGAAGGAAAAACTTCCTTTTAACAGGCAGAAACCTGGAGCAGAACCATGGCTCAGGGTGGGGGGGGCATCTGCCTCGGCCGGTTGGGGGTGAGAGAGAAAGAGAGAGAGGGCGAGAGAGAGAGAGAGAGAGAGAAGGACAGAGGGACCAGAGAGAGGCAGCCAACACAGCAACAAGTAGACTAGGTGAAAAATGGCAGTGATATTAATACTAATGATGATGGTAGAAGTTATGACGGCAACAGAGCAGGAACACGGAAGGAAAACCTTCCCCAAAAAACAGATTAGTCCAGTCTTGGCTTATTAAATATCAATGATTCAGTGCGTTGATCAGCAGCTCCCTACCATCACTGCCTCTGTTTTATTATGTGGGATTTAATGAGTTTTAACATCAACTGAGAAGGTATAACATGCTATCCTATCCAGAAAGATTAAACCTCCGAATTGGAAAACATACATGGAGCCCGTCCAACTATTTTCTCGAAGAAAAAGTAGCTATGGAAGCACGGAGGCCTGGCACCTTGCAGCTAAGAACCATCTTAAGAGGTTCGGTTCTCAACTCAACTCAACTTTATTTATAAAGCGCTTTCAGTCAGCAAAAGCTAAAATCAAAGCGCTGTACAGGTCATTTGAGCAGATCATAAAACACAATTATCACCACAACACAAGACAAACTCAAAGATAGAGTAAGAGCAAAAAATAAAAAATAAATAAGAAAAAAACTAAACCAAGTAAGAGAGGGAAATTAAGACAACTAAGATAAAGTCGAAGTCTCACTCAAAGGCCTGAGAGAAAAAGGGGGTCTTTAAAAGGGTTTTAAAAGAGCTGAGTGTAGGGGCCTGCCTGATAGAAAAAGGGCTGCGGAAACCAGACTGCAACCACAAAGAAGGTAACCAGGGAAATGGAACGCTCTCATGTGCGTTTCTGTAGAAGCCATTTTTCGTATTTACATTAGTGTGAAGCTAAAATATGTGTGTTTTGTCTACCGTCTGTGTCTTCCAAGGTCTAGCCTTCAACAACAGCCAACTACCGGGAAAAACCTTATAAGGGCATGACAGAAATTGACCTTGGGTGTCCAATACTTTCCTATCCCATAATATGTACACTGCTTAGCAACTATCAGTCTAATAAAAATCAACGGCTAGAGAAATGTGGGTGAGATTCGATGTGTGGCATTTCTCTGGCCACGCA